ACTGCAACCTTCACCTTCAGGGTTCAACTGATCCTCCTGCCTCAGACTTCTGAGTAGCTGGGACTACAGGCACATGCCAGCACACCTGGCTAATGTTTTGTATTTTTAGCAGAGACAGGGTTTCACTGTATTAGCCAGGATGGTCTCAATCTCCTGACCTCGTGATCTGCCCCCCTTGGCCTGACAAAGTGCTGGGATTACAGGCGTGAGCCACCGTGCTCGTCCTCCCTTTCCTTCTGTCTGCTCCTTGAACACAAGCATTTCTAGCCCCAGACCTTAGCAGTTGTTATGTCCTTCACCTGGTGTTTTTACATCTTGATTTTTATGCCAGAGTCACTCTGGACTCATTTCAAATGTCACACTTTTAAGGGGAGAGTTCTTCTTACTGTTCCCATGCCCTCAGTTCCCTTCTAAGACTTACTCATTTATTTCTATAACTCCGTAACCAGAGCAACGCCTAATTCATAGAAAGGGTTCAAAAAACTATTAAATTATTGAATGAGTGGGTCAGACTTACTGGCCATAAGGGGGCAAAACTTTACTTTCAAGAACTTCTATCTTGCATAGGATCTTGAAGGTCATAGGGTTTGATATGAGAATCCCATCAACAGTTTAATAGCACCAAGCGTAATGCCTTGCATACAATAAGTGGTATTGAACATCTCTACCAAATAAATTAGTTTACACTTGATTTTCTCCATTGAGAGAAAGACTTCTAGTTTCCAAGACTTCCTTTTCCTTCTTCCAAACTTTTAACATTTATGTTGAAAGAGGGAAAAAAAATCAAGCTATAAAGTAGGACTGGAAATCTGCTCATACTGGACCAAGCTGTGACCTCTGACCCAGCGTGGGGCTTCAACATCGCATCTGCCGAGTGAGTCTGATTGCCTTAGGAGCTCTTAACCTCCTAGAACCTGGAGCTCCTCTGAGACCTGAAGCTGGAGAAGTGGCTTTTTATTGCTTGCCTTGGGAGACCCGTCAACCCCCAAGTGGAGAAATACAACCACTGGCTCATGACCATGTTAAGTGTGGAAAGCTAGTTTGTACATTTCACTTTAATGAAGGTGATGACCACATCCTAGTGCTTGACTGAGTGATTATCAATCGATGCCCGGCTGGCATTTTTGTTATTTGCCTATGGCCATTAGTCTGGGCCCCAATAGCTAATTAATTTGCAAAGCCCTCTGGCAATCAGCTGCTTCCTACACAGATGGTACTGGGTGTCTTTGTGAATCCTAAAGCCCGACCTCCTGATAGTGTCATTCGGCCAGTGCAGCAGAGCCTGGGCTGACCCCATGCCTACACTTGAGGTCCTTCGTGGGGGCATCACCTGCTAAGGGTTTCTGTCTTTGTTTCTTGTGCTGACTCAGTACATGGACCTTGAAGATCAAGCTGCTGGGATGGAATCTAACATGGTCCCGCCACGCCTCAGTACCATGAAGTTCCCATGTGAAACCAGGAGCCCTGGAGGTTTCTTAGTCTTCACCTGGCCCTCTCCCTACTGACATCTTTCTTTACACCCTGGGGTTTTTATATGTGTGTGTGTCTCCACTGCTAGATCAGAAACTCCTTGAGGGCAGGGAGGGATGGAGACACATTCAGGCTCTATCTGAGAATTCTCTCCCCATCTGTCGTCTGAGCATGGGTTATATATACAAGAAGTTTACAATAGATGTTGGCAAAATTAAGTAATTCAGCAAATATGTGATGAACACTGTTTTGTGCTGGGCCCAGGAAACCAGGATAAAGAGTGTTTGGCTTTGAGTTCCTTAAAGGTCGGGCCTCGTCTTGCCTGGCACTTAGTACAGTTACATGCATAGTGCCTGGCACACAGTGAGTGCTAACAAATGTTTGTTGAATAAATGACTGAATGTATAGAGCACAAAATGCATGCTTGAATAAATGACAACCTTCTTGGACTTGGGACATTTCATGGATTAGGAAAAAAATGTGTGTGAACTATGGAAAATGGCTGGGAGAGGAATGGTTAGGGTAGTGGAGTAGCAGGGACGACATGAGAACGAACTCACAGTACAGTCCTTCTTGGATGGGCCTCCACAGTGAGAAGTACACCTCCTGCTCTTCCCCTACTGTGCTTAGGTAGCTCGTGGCTCACATGCTTTCACCCTAAGTCTTGACAGCAAACTACTCCTCCTTTAAGGTGCAGCTCACAGGCTGCCCATACTGGAGCTTCTAAGCCCTAATTCCCAGGGATTCCTGAACAGACCACAAACTAGTTCCTCTTCTTGGGTCACATGTATGATGGCGGAGAGGAAGGACAGGTGACACAGCCACCCAAAGATGCCTTGCTATACAGCAGGCTTCTGAGATGCATGCCAGGGAGCACAATCTAGTGGGTCAAGTCCAGAGATGCCATGGCACATCCTCCAATGCACAGGCCAGCCCTGCAGCCTCACCACACACACACACACGTGCGCGCGCGCACACACACACACACGCCTCAGAAAATGTGCTGATCCAAAACGTCAAGTGTTGAGGTTGAGAACCCCCTTGGGGTTACTGAAAACGGAGTCCTAAGACCTGAGTCACCTGTCTAGCATGGCATCAAGGTTCAGCCCTGCCCTCTCTAGCTGAGCCCAGGGCAGATACCTCCATTCCATCCCCCTGCTCTGGCACAGCCCAGGCTTCAGGATAGCACAGTGCCCAGTATGAGGAGCACTTTCTCAAACCTACCGAGTTTCCACAGTTACCCCAGGAGGCAAACGAGAGGTCATAAACCCCCCTGGGCTGGGGGCTGGGGGCTGGGGAAGGTTAGCAGCAGCATACCAGTCACCCAATGACCCACTGGCAAAAGGCAGAGAATAGCCTGCAGCCCCGACCTCCAGGGCTCCACATCTGCCTTTTTCCTTCTTCCGCAGCTCCTCCTGTGCCCTTGATCAGGAACCCACTCTATGGGCCTCTCTCTTGCCTGCCTCTGCCTTTGACTTGAGCATCTTTAGGGCTGATGGTGTCTTTCTCCAAAACTTTTAAAGCTTGTGTTAAACCAGCAGCCCCTTTGCACACACCTCTTGTGTCCTAGCTTGTCCCAAGACTGGCTTCCTTTCTTCCTACCGTTCTCAGCCTAATGATACCTCTAGAGAGAGCATATCCTCCACACAACTGACCACCTGTGCAAAGTAGCACTTCTGAGCCCCTGTGTCCCATCAACTCATTAAGTTTCCTCGATGGGTCACCATAATTTATAGCCACATATTCAGTCTTTCCCATAGGACTCCCCCTGTGGGAAGTAGTAGTATCTGCTGTGTAGTATATATGCAAATAACTGCCACCCCATAATGTTCTTTGTAGTTCTTTCCCTTGACCCACACATTGCACCAAGTCACCATGCCTCTGTAGTCTCCTTTAAGTTAAGTTAAGCACACGGAAGGGAAGGGCTTTTGCACTTTTGTTTACAGCTAAATCCCAGCTCCTGGAACATACCTTGATCTATAAAGCTCTACTAAAGAAATGACAGAGAATAAATTCAGAGCCTCATCTGTACTAGATCCTTGGTAAGTGTCTATTAAAAACTCATACCTCTACCTTTAAGTCCAAAGCTCTTTTACTCCTCTGTGTGAATTTGGGGGGAAGTCTCCACTTCTGCATATTTCTGCCTGTCCCCTCTTCCCTGTTAAGCAAACTACCCACTGAGTCTTTTGCAATATTTCCTTTGCACCTTCCCAGCAAGCTCTTCACGAGCGGGTGTTTCCACAAGTTCTAAGGAACCCTCTCTCTAGTGCAGAGTGCCTGCCTGCTAAATTTAGAAGCAGCTCTGAGGGTTTTGATTCATCTTTGCAAACTATACGGAGTGAGGTTTCCAAATGACTGTACCAGGGTGGCTATGTTGGCCTTGCTGGACTAGGGCCTGGGTCCCCAGCCATAGACTCGGGCCCTGACCCTTCCTGGGGACTAGCTGTGTGATTATGGGCAGGTCACTCAAGTCTCTGATGCTCTGTCCACTCTATGAGGTATGAGGGGCTGTGAGGGGCTCTGAAGGCCATCCCAGCATGGTTACCTGGCATTCCAAGCTCAAGCAGGCAATTCCCAGGGAATCCTGGGGTCAGCATTCCAGAAACGTTCACCTCTTTCACCAATAAGCTCTGAAGCCCCAAGTGCCTGGGTTTCTCTGCCTGAGACTCACACACTGTAAGTAGGGGGATCTTATATGCAATATGTATATAACCTATAACATATACAACATACATTTTGTAATAGATAACAAAGAGACACATGTATTTTAACATCAAACCCACCAGAGTAGAATAATCCACACCTATATCCCCTTCACCTAGATTCACCATTTTGTCACGTTTACTTTCTGTCTCTCTCATTACCTTTCTGTGTCTTGATATATATAGAAATAGGTGTATTAGGTTGGTACAACAATGACTATGGTTTTTGCCATGTTTATGGCAAAAACCGCAATAACTTTTGCACCAACATAATGACTGTAGATACAGGGATGCAGCTCTTCTTTTAATGAACTATTTGAAAGCTGTAGCCATCATGATACGAGATATTCTCTTAGTCGCCATGTGTCCCTGAAGAACTAGACCTTCTCCCACATAACCCATACCCTTATTACCATGTCCAAGAGACTTAGCACTGGAACAGTATTTTCTACTGGGCAGTATATATTCTAACAACTCCCATCCCATAATGTTCTTTCTAGTTCTTTTCCCTGGACCCACACATTACCAAATCATTGTGTCTCTTCAGTCTCCTCTAATCTTGAAGTCTTGCTCTGGGGTCCATGCGGCAGTGACAGAAGGGAACTGCAAAAATTGGGAAACTGAAATCACAGAAGCTGCAGCTGTCAGCCACAGCCTTCGTGGACCCAGCAAGCTCTGGTGATGCACAGGAGCAAATTCACAGCCCCGTCTCTATGCCTTTTAATTAGAGAAAGAAGACAAAGTTTCTGAACTCCCAGAATCTAGAATTAAGCTGGCCATATTCTCAAGTGCTTTGTAAAACAATTACAAATGCCTCTATCTTCCCAGTCCTCGCAGAGAGAAGCCTGCTCAGAGTGGTTACTGAAAACAGGAACCTGCCCTTCTGCAAGCCCTGTGCCTTCCTTGTTCCTAGCAGAGGAAGTATGCGGCCAGTTTAGCAACTGCAGTTCTTCTGGGTGGCATGGGCTGCTTCTCCTCACCCGTGAGAGGCCCGACTGTCTGTTTATTCCGGAGGAGCAGCACTTGACAGACGGAGAGGCAGTGATTCTGCGTCCAGCAATTTCTCTGCAGACAGCTCCCACAGGAGTCATGCTCAGTGTGTGAAGGTAATTTGGGGGGATATGGCAGAGACAGAGTGGGGAGAGAACTCAGAACCTCTTCAACACACAGTTGGCAGGGATTGACTTTCTGGAGGCAGAGGGGGGCTCCCTGCGAACAGGTAGGGCAATGTCTTTAGAGAAGCCCAGCCCCCAACCTGGTGCCCAGCACACTGCAGTGGCTCAGTGGATGTTGGATGCATAATTCTATGGGGAGAAAGGCTGGAGGAGCATGGGCAGGACATTGCCAGAGGAGATATTCTCACCAAAAAGACCTGTACTTAGCAGGCTTCTTATAAAGGACAACTGGGGTTTGCCACCAGAATTTCTAGCTATGGAACCTTGAGCAAGTCATTTAAGCCTCTCCAGGCCTCGTTTTCTCATCTGTAAAGTGGCAACGATGTACCTAACGCACACAAGTATGGGGCAAAGTCAAGAAATGGACATCTGCTAAGTACCCATGCCAGCTTCAGACACGCAGCAGGTGTTCAGCAAATGCTATCAGGCTGGAGCCATGACGTTGAAAGGCACACGGAGCCAAGTGGGTTGAGAGATTGCAATAGTGCTACTTGGAGTGCAATTGTACAGATCTTCTTTGGGAAGATGCCAAAGATAATTAATAATAATCTGAGCTGGTGGCATGTGTATGGGGGAGAGGAGGAATCAAAGGAAAGGCAAACATGTGAAGTACATAAATTCTGAAAACAGCATGTTAGAGTTGGAAGAGATTTAGGAGAACTACAATTTTCTAAGGAATGTGCCACACTCCACATTCTTTGAGATGCCCACATATGGCAAGAGCCTGGTGTCAAAGAAATGACCTGAGCTTGGGCCTCAGAATGTCCTCACTTGGGGCTGTGCACGGGGGTGTCAGTAGGTGATGTCTACCATCCTGAGTGACGGGGGAGGAGCAATACAGAAAAAGTTATTTTTCTGCAATCCTCAGAACAGTCCTATAGGTTCATGATTGTTATTTGCTTTTGATAACTGAGAAAATGAGGCTCAGAGAACTTAGGTGGCTTTTCCAAGTCACATAGCTGGTGGGAGGCAGAGGCAAGTTAGGGGCTCTAAAGGGCTGGGACACCTCAGTGAGAACAAGTGAATGAAGGGCCAAGGCCTGTGTTTAAAGCGGTGCCCTTCACTTTAGGAAAAATGCACCCCATAGTCTTCAATTTGTCATTCTGTGGTTTGCTGTGAGATGCTCAGCTGCGAGTCTATTAAACTGGGCTGTGGTCCCTTGAAAACTAGAGAGGTAAGCCCAGGTAAAAATTCTGGCAAATTTGTTGTAACTAATAGTTTCCACTTAGAAGAATGCTACTTAAGAGTGCTTAATATGCTCTGAAAGTATAGTAAAAATATTTCAAACTTAAGTAATAGACAAATTGAAATCTAATTAGATTCCTTCATCTTCAACAGATCTAGAATCTAGATCAGAGCAGCAAGATGGCAGTATAGAAGGACTGTGTTATAATCAGCTGCATCTGAGTCAACATTCTGGGTCGGCCACCAAAGAACTCGGTGACTCCGTGCAAGTCACTTTGCCTCTTTGAGTGTTCATTTTTTCCTTGTAAAAAGAAGACCAGTTTCTTTATATGTTTGAGAGAAGTTTACATGTAATATGTAGGAAATAATATGTACTAAATAGGAGCTATTGATATCATTCCTAAATCAGAAAATTAAAATATATCTGATTCCTTTAATATTTCCTAGGCAGAAAGCTGCTAATAGGCTGTGTTAAATATGATGGTTAAACTGCTGAAGCAATGAGCAAGGCATTCCGCCATTTTTCTGACTATGTATTTCTGCTTGTTCCTCCGTCTGATATACGCGAAACAGACATGGGTAGGTTTGCATTGCAGCAAACTATAGTCACTTTCCAAAGAAAACGTTCCTCAGTCACTTTCAGGGAAGACTTCCCCATTCTGAATTGTGAAATCTGGCAATGTATTTCTGAGGGAAATGAGCCTCCTTAAAGACAGAAACCGTTCATTCGAGTCCACCCAGATCAGTGCCTTGCATTAGTGGGTGCTGCTGGGTTTCAGGTTTTCATTTGGCATTCATCAGGAATGTTTCTCCCAGCTCTGAGATAGGCTGAAACGTAAAATTCCCATCAAGGACTTCCAGCATATTTCAGACCAAACCATTCAGTTCTTTTCAGCAGTGCAAGGGTTCTGTTTGTATATTTATCTGTCTATCTATCTATTTATCTATCTATCTATCCATCCATCCCTCTCTTTCTGTAATAAAATATGCATTGAAGTCACATCACGTGATCAACTTCCTCCCTCTCGTTGTCAACCTCCCTATGAATTCCGAAGGAAATAAGTACAGCCTGTTCAAACCACTTCCTCCCGTCTGAGAACCACTGAGGGAGGAGCCAATTGGATTATGGTAACTCTAGCTAAAACAGCAATTTTAGGGCTCCAGGGGCTAAAAGGATCCCTTTTGTTGTCAAACAGCTTTGCAAAGTCACATTTCCCTCCTTGGCACCAGGCTGACTGGAACCAGGGCTGGAGGACTTGGGGTGTGTGTGTGTGTGTGTGTGTGTGTGTGTGTGTGTTTTGAAGGGGTTGGTGATTGAAGCTGAGAGACTTAAAGAGCTTCGGAAGAAAGTGAGAATTGTTGCTGGTATGTGCTTGGAGGCAAAATAACTATCTTGGATGGTCCAGGCTTCCCTGGAAGCAGACCACCTGTTGCCTGTACCATGCCAGTTTATATACAATACCTTCGGCCATGCATTCTAACTAACTGAGCTTGCATTATGTGCCAGGCACCTGCTAGGTCATGGCTTTTCACTGAGGAATACAATAGTCATCAACCCTATCCTAAGGAAGTTGCCCTGGAAACAATAAGCACTTGGAGAAACAAATACATAAGGATAAATTGTGGTTTGTGCTGTGGAGGAAATAGCCAGGGGAGAGAACAGAGGGGACCAAGTGTAGTCAGTGCAGTCAGTTTCATTTAATTCTCCCACTCACCCTGGGAGGTGAACATGCTCCCCACACCAGTTTGCAGATGTGCCAATCTGCCCCCACTCTTTCCCTCTCTTCCCTACATGCCTTCCAAGCCACCTGGACAACCGGCTAAAAATATGCATCCTCTGAATGCAAGGACCAAGCACCCTGAGTATCTGGACCCACCTTTCATTGCACCACTCTATCCACAAACCTATCAGTCCACCTACTGAATAACTATGACATGCATAACCCTCTAGCACACAAAAAAGTAACATAACCTTGCCAGGAAAAAAATGTCTCTGCTTTAGGCAGCCCTTCACCCCTTTCCTCAGGCCTAAGGCATGGTACTTGGGAGCCAGGCTCTAGAGCCAGACCCCAGTCCCACCTCCAGCACTTCCCAGCTGGGCAAACTCCAACAAGTTATGTGAGTGCACTGGTCTTGGTTTCCCCATTAGACAAAAGTCCTCCCTGGAGAGTTGTGGAGGTCAGGCAGGGAGCACATGTAACACAGGCAGGACATGCAATTCCTCAATACGTACTGGCGCCCCCCTCCTGCTGCTAAGCACATGTAACACACGCAGGACATGCAATTCCTCAATACGCACTGGCGCCCCCTCTCCTGGTGCTATACACAAAGCCTCATCAAGGGCTGGCACCAATCTGGGATGGACGCAGAGAGTCCTCCAGCTGGCCCCCTCATTATGTACAGAAAGGCGAACTGACACCAAAAGAGGAAAGTGGCTGACCACAGTCTCAGAGAAGCTGATTGTCCCACTGTGCAGTCTAAAGACAGAATGTGCAGAATATGAAAATTAGATAAAATTAGGGGAAACAACTGAGATAAATTCTCCCTCACAGTATTGGAGTAACCGATCCCCATGATTTTATGATAAAATTGACAACCATTGTCTGGGAAGAAGGGACAGTTTCGCCATGTTCAGAAGCGAGGGTGCCTGCAGACATGGGGCAGTCGCATGCCAGCTCCCAAGCCTGTGTGCATTCTCCTCTAGTCACACCAGCAGTCCCAGCTCTTAGAGCACCTACTTTTAGAATTAAAGTTGTATTAAACTGGGATGAAGGTAACTGAAGGAATTAGGAGTGGGAGTGAAAAGGCAAAGGATTTACAGGCTGGCCCCAGCCCTGAACAAGCCTTGTGACCCTGAGCAAGTTACTTGGCCTCTCTGAGACTCAGTTTTCTCATCTATAAAACTGTATGTTCCTGGGGGCATCAAATGAGTCCGTATTTTAAACATCTCATTTAGGCCTTCCATGTAGTGGATGCCCACTTAGATACCTCTTTTGCTTTGAAAAAAAATAGAGGTCTGTAGGCAACTGTTCCCCAAACAGAAACTTATCGGGAGAAAGATTCCATAGAGTTGATTCACTCTGGTGGTGCCTGGATGTAGCCTGCACTGTCTTATGAGGTGCATTCCACACATCTTTTTCCTACTCTGTCCTCAGAGATGTCACACTGGAAGCTGGAAGTTAGCTATGGCAGGAGTATTTACACCACAGAAATTGGCACACTCTATCAGTTAGAATGTGTCCCCTGAAACAATGATTGTTTGACATTTACTAGCACACCAAGAACCCACGGTCTCCTAGGTCCACATTGTTCCTTCAGTTTCTTTTTCTCTTTTCTTTTCTTCTTTCTTTCTTTGTTTTTCTTTTGTCTTTCTCTTTTTTTTTTTTTTCCTTGAGAGGGAGCCTTGGGCACAATCTCAGCTCACCGAAATCTCCATCTACTGGGTTCAAGCATTTCTCCTGCCTCAGCCTCCTGAGTAGCTGGGATTTCAGGCATCTGCCACCACATCCAGCTAATTTTTGTATTTTTAGTAGAGATGGGATTTTGCCATGTTGGCCAGGATGGTCTCGAACTCCTGACCTCAAGTGATCTGCCCACCTTGGCCTCCTAAAGTGCCGGGAGTACACGCCTGCCTGTTCTTTGTTTCTAACTGTTCTCTTTTATTTCCCTATGGAGCATCTACTGAGTCCCAGCCGAGAGTAGAAACGAACCTGCTGGCTGCCCTCACAGCACTTACAGTCCAGTAAGGGAGAAGGTCACTCACCACACACTCATACAAATGACCATCAAATCATGACCCATCTGAAGGCAATCAGCTTTCCTGAGGAGCTATGGAGGGAAAAATGAGCTCAAAAGAGAAGCACATTAATAGCAAATTAAAAACACCATGGAGATCTCCTTAGAGAGACCAAGCCCCATTTGATCCATGCCTGGGAGCTGCAGTGTTGGGGTTCTGGGGTCCATGTGCCTTGATAAGTGATTGACAGTGAGAGGAAACCCCAGATCAGGAGTTGGTCATTGGCAAACGCTGTGTCAGGTGAAATGCTGATTCCCATCTTACTTAGTAAGTTTATGAGTAATGCTGTGATTCACATGCCTGAATGAAAAGCAAAAGTAACTTGCTGGGAAATACAATGCAATAAAGAAATCACGGACTTTATCGTCCCTGTGCCTAGATGCCTGGGCAAGCTTAGCATGTCCATGAAAGACTCTATATACTTCTCCCTTCTCTGGTGAAACCTGCCTTTCCCAGGCATCCACATCTGAAAAGAAAAGAAGAGGCCTGTTTCCTGGTCATCGTTTCCCCATTCCGTGTAATGGCCAGGATCAAAATAATTGTCTTTACCACTTTCTCTTCATTGCCAACGTTTGCTAGGCCAGCCTGCTTATAGGATCTAGAGCTATCCACGACCTGGCCTGGGCCCAAACCCCATTTATAGCCTGGTTTTGTCAGCGAATGTGTTCTGGTCCAACAGAGCCACAGACTGACTGGGCGGTGCCCCACCTCACCATTCCTGTGTGTTGGGGGCCTCTGTGTATAGAAAGTCTATCTAGAAAGAAAGAAATGGGATGGGGAAGGCTCTTTTTATCTCCATGAAGTATCAAAGCCACGTCAGGAATGTCCTTTGCTGCCCGCCCCCATATGTGAGACAGCTCTTTACATGACACCCACTCACTGTACTGACACGTCTGGGTTACTGGGGCCCTTGCGTCAGTGTGGCAGCGAGCCACAGAGACTGGAGGGTGTGCATAGCCCTCAACACCTCCTCTCACCAGTCCTTCTGTGAGAATACCCAGAAAGGCACGTATGACTATGTCCATTAAAGACGAAAACAGAAACAACAGGAAGAGTGGTCTAGTGACTTAATAAAGTATAACATTAAAACTTGCCCTGGAATAGACTGGCCTCAAATCTGGCTTCTTTCCCTGATATCTTAAAATGACCTTAAAATGGACACTAGGACACCTCCATCCTCTTCTGGTTTTAGCATAAAGCCCAGTCTCTCATAAAGACTGAGAGTGTATGAGATCCCCTTCTGGGCACTCAAGGGCAAAGTGGGCACAGTACACAGGCTCCTGGACACGTAGGTCAGGCCTGCGGCCTGGTTGACAGATAGATGGGCATCTCCTCCTCTGCAGGGGATGGAGTGCTGGACAGGGAGTCATGCACTCGTACACACTTAACGTGTGACCTGTAGCAGGTTGCCTGCCCCCTCTGAGTCTTTTCCTGGTCCTATGAGACTGCTGAATTGCTACTTTTCAAGTGGTGATTTATGATGCCCCAGGATTGAGGTATTCTATCAGCAGTATTAGAGGGATGAGATACTGAGCCCTCAGCCCATGCAGCTACTCACTTTCATCTATTCTATGTATTGAGCTTCTAGGGAATCTTTCCTTCTCTTTTTTCAGATGGAGTCTCACTCTATTGCCCAGGCTGGAGTGCAGTGGCACCATCTCGGCTCACTGCAACCTCTGCCTCATGGGTTCAAGCGATTCTCCTGCCTCAGCCTCCTGAGTAGCTGGGATTACAGGTGACTGCCACCATGCCCAGCTAATTTTTGTATTTTTAGTAGAAACAGGGTTTCACCACATTAGCCAGGCTGGTCTTGAACTCCTGACCTCAAGTGATTCACCTGCCTCAGCCTACCAGCGTGCTGTGATTCCAGGCATGAGCCACTGCACCTGGCCTAGGGAATCTTTCTTTGAAACACAGTTTGAAATATCTTAGGTGTGAGGATCCCACATTCTTCCCCAGGTGCTCCTGAGGGCCTCTGACTTGGAGTCATTCCTAAGAAAAAGGCTGGGGGTTGCGTGCCCTCTCTGAGCTGGCCTCCTGCCCCTGTGGGTCTTGCAGGTGTCCCTGAAGCCCCTGGTATGCTGCAGCCCTCTGCTGCAGTGCAGAGAACGGAGCAGCAGGTGGGGGTGGGGTGGGAGCAGGTAGGACAGGCCTGTGGCTGCACCTGCCCTACAGAAGAGCAAAGGACTATGTGGGTCACGGGGCAGGCAGCACCAGCAGCCCCCCGCCTCGCACTCAGAGAGGTGCACCTGTGGAGACAGATCAGGATGTGGTGGGTGACCCCGGAAATCCTGCCAGGGAGACCACCGAATGCTAAGCCCCTGTGCCAGCTCTTATTTTTCCTGAAGCCAAAGGTCAGGCCACAGGCAGCACTGAGCAGGTCCCTAGTCAATTGTGCCGGTACTGGGTACAGTCACGACGGGGAAATTGTTGAACCAAAAGAGCCATTTCCCAAGGGTTGGGAAAGTGTCCCAACCCTTTCCCCATCATATTTGAGGGCTCTGTGGCCCAGACAGAGGAAGGCACTTGCTCAAGCTTGTACAGTGAGCTAGCCACCCCAGCCCCTGCACAGGATATAGTTTGGGTAGAATTTAGCTGCCATTTACCAAACATAGCTCTGCTTTAGATGTGATCTATCATTTCATCCTCAAAACAACCCTGTAGGGCATATACTTGTGTCCCAAATTAGTGGATTTGAAAATCGAGGTTCAGAGAAGGGAATTAATTTGCCAAAGGACACACAGCCAGTAGGTCAAGAGCTGGAATCTGCACTCAGGCCTGCCTGCTTTGAAAATCTCTTCTTTAAAGCTCCCTCATTTTTTCCAAGCTTTTGATTATAAAAGCAATTCATGCACTTGGGAGAAAATCTGGGCATTTTAGAAATGTGTAAGTAAAGAAGAAATTTATAAATTCATGTATAAAGTCACTACCCAGAGACAGTCCTTGGAAACATTTTGGAAATTTCTCTTTATTATTTTTCTATACGCATGCATTTGAGTGGTACATCTTCATGACACGGAAGTGCTAAGAGCTCAGCTAGTATTCCTTTTCGTTTCTTTCATTTGTTTTGTTCCACAGTAGTAACAGCTTTTTTGAAAATAATGCTGTGAAAGGCTAGAAAACATCCCCTGTGATTCACTCCCGCTCTTCTGCCCATAGCATGTCTCAATTGGCCTCTCTCTCTTGTTTCTTCTGCTCCCAGCAAGCACTCCTGCATCCCTCATCCCCACCATGCACCCAGACCTGGGCTTCCAAACACTGGCAAGTGACATCCAAGAGATCCCCTAGGGTCTCCGTGTCCATTGTTTTAAAGGTTCCCCCAATGTTTATGCTTCCTAAGGTTTGCTTTGATGACTTTTAAAAATCACTTTTCTATTGCCTTCTTGGGTTAGCCAGAGGATAGAAAAAAAGGCCAGCACTGGTGGCCACTAAAAGCACAGGTTTTAGAGCAAGGCAGATGAAGTTGGAATCCCAGCTTTACCTCCTCTTAGTGGTATAAGCCTGGATAACTCACTAAATTTACCTCAGCTATAAAGTGGGGTTGTTCTGAGCAACCCAAGACATACTGGCTGGACAGTGCTTAGATCTGTACCTGGCAGAGGATGCTCGCTGACCAATCGTGGGATAGAGGTATTCTGGTCATCACTGTTGCTGCTGGCATTCACATATATGGTGGACACTGAGGCTTCTCCACTTGACCCACCGTGCTCCCATGCCTTAGAAGAAGATCGCATGAATGGGCTTATAGCTGTCACACTTTGCAGCAGAAATTTCTAAGGCCAAAGGGAAGGTAGCATCCCTAAGTAAGTTTTCAACTTAATTCTAACTGTTACCAAGAGTTCAGCTCCTGACTTTCTGACCTGCCTTCCCTTGGTTGGACATCCTCAATTTCTCTCCCCTTTGGTGCATGATAAAGGGGTTTGGGCTACTCTCCTTCGCAGCAGCAAGGCCAGGCAACAGAAGCACAAGATGGACAAGGTGCACAGAGCTGTCTTGGGAGGCTGCCCCAGGAATGGAAGGTTCTGAGAAGGCTCCCCACCTGGATTTATAAGACAATGCAGAGCACACAATGAAAGGACCCAGATCTGCAAAACAGAAACCTATTAAGAGAGGGGCTGCTGGCTGGCACATCCCACATTGTTGATGCCAATGCCCTGCCAGTATGTGACCTCTCCATGCCATGTGTCTGCTCAAGTGGCAGCCAGCCATCCCTGACCAGAGTTGCTTACACTGGGGAGGCAGCAGCATGGTTCTGAGCAAAAGGTGTAGGTCCTGAAGTTAGGAGATGTAGGGTTTCCAGCTCTGGAACAATGTGCGGGTGACTAACCCCTGACCTCACACTGACAAAGTAAAAGAGTATCCGCCCTCGGGAATGCTGGTAAGATTAAACACAATAGTATTTAAAAATTGCCTCCCAGAAGGTGGTTGTACACGTTAACTGTCTTCCCTTGATTCTGAAGCACAAAAAGACAAGAGTTGGATTCTGTCCAATGGGACTTCATTTTTAAAATGCCAATGGTTCTTTTATTAATAATTTTCAAAAACCATTGAGTTGTGATTGCTAAAATTAAATGGGGTTATAAGGCTTGCTCTTTGGAGATCATCTTTTCTACTCATCTCATTTTTCAGAAGAGGAAACCAAGGTCCAAATTCACACAGAGGAAATAGCATTGGCCCAAAGACCGGAGGGAAAATAAGGTAATAGCAGTTATGATTCTTTGACCCAGAAACCTAAGAGTTACACACACCAAGGAAAGAGAGGAAGAAATCAAGGATGTGCCAAGCCAGTGTTAATTAACTCATTTCTCTTTTGCCCTTTTCTATTGTTCTTAGAAGCAATTATGTCTCCAGTACCCTCTCTCCCACCTTCAGCCACTGCATAAAACTGTCACAGATTAAATCAAATTGTTCAGCCGTTTCATTAGAGAGACTCCAGTTCTCATTCTCTGGGGGCATTTTCGCTCTTCTCCAATAAAAGCCTCTTTCAGATAAGTTAACTCCTTCTTGAAGACTGTAGGAAGCCACTGAGCAGACCACTAAGGGGCTGTTGAGACCTGATGGTTTTTTGGTGGTCATATAGCCCTGACCCGGCCCCTTCTCTCATGGAGACTGAACTCCACCTGGCAAGACAGAACAGGTGGAGTGCAAGCAACAGAGAGAGAAGCGTGTTAGCATAGAAAAACCAAGGCTTCCAGGATTGACTTCAACTTTCTCATCTCGTGACCCTGGGTATGTTTCTTTTCCTAAATGAATGTCGGTTTTCCAATCTGAAAAATGCAAATTTAAAGGCTTTTTTTCTGTAGTGGATTCCAGCGCCAAATCAGCATGCAAATGCTTGAGAAGAATGATAGAACTTTTGGGAAGAGAGAGGTTGTTGGAATTCTCTTTGATGGATAGCAAAGTCTTGTTCTGACTGGTTTTCTAGAATGGTTGTGACATAAAGATCAGACATTGTGGTGGGAGCCTGCTACTTAGAAGAAGCTCAGTGGAGAGGATGGAGGGGAGGGAAGGCTGGCAGGGCTGGGGGCACCCTGATATCTGGAGGGGGGAACCACAGAATCGGGGTTCTGGGGACCATCACTAAGTGTCGAAAGACACTCGATCTCAATGCCACGTTCTGGGCTGAAAGGACAGAAAGCCATTGCTGAGATAGTTTGCTGTGTCTGGGGACATAGGAGATGGTGGCAAATGGGCGAGGCCATCATACATGTGGCTTCAGAGTTAGTTCTGCATGTTGAAAACTTTCCCCAGAAGCCCAAAGGCCTTGGTGACGCTAAGATAGGGAGGCTGAGGAACCAAGGCAGCTGGTGAGTTTCAGGAAGCCCGAGGAGCAGGGCAGAGGCAGCCATGTGTGGGACAGCCTGTGCGTGTCACACATGTGCTTCCTGAGGCCTGTGTGAAACAGCCTGTGCATGTCACATGCATGCTTCCAGAGATTTGTGTAGGACAGCATGTGTGTGTCACACATGTGCTTCCTGAGGCCTGTATGGGACAGCCTGTGCATGTCACATGCATGCTTCCCAAGGCCTATGTAGGACAACATGTGTGTGTCACATGTGTGGTTCCTGAGGCCTGTGTGGGACACCCTGTGCGTGTCACATGTGTGCTTCCTGAGGTCTATGTGGAACAGCCTGTGCATGTCACATGCATGCTTCCTGAGGTCTGTGCTGGACAGCCTGTGTGTGTCACATGCGTGGTTCCTGAGACCTGTGCAGGACAGCCTGTGCATATCACATATGCTTCCTGAGGCCTGTGTGGGACAGCCTATGTGACTGCCAGCTCCTCAGGGCCAGAGAGGCTGCCTTGTGTGCCTCTTCCCTCTGTCTGACCCAGGCCTTGGAGGCAGCACACTGCGACTACATGAGTGGGATTCTGCCTTCCTCAAGGCACTGGCCCAGGGCCCAGCACCACATAGATGCCCAGGAAGTGTCTGCTGAACTGCAGAGAATGTGGGTTGCAGTGCCACCTGTTGTGTTTCTGTAAACACTTTGGGGGAGCACACTTCTTGGGCACCTTCACCAGGTTCAGGGATGGAGAAAGGCCAATGCATTCTTGCCCTACTAGACTCTGGGTGTTGCCACTAGAACTAGCCCAGCTGCTAGAAGTTGCCCACCAGGGTCAGAGGTCCTGCGATTTTGTGTGGGGGGGCATTTTCTAGTCTGTGAGGAGGGTAGAGGCAAGTATGGAGAAAGAAGGGCCAGAACCTCAAATTTGCAAGAGTATCCTCTTTTCCAGTCACAAAGATCAGCAGGATCTAAAAAGGATGGAAGTTGCACTTCACTTTAAATATGCTGCCCATTCTAACCCTTCCATGGTGCACTATGAGTTTATAGCTTTTGCAAGCCTTGTCATTGTCTTGAGACTATTACTAGGCATTAGCCTGAGCAGTAAGTGACAAGCTATTCATGTAAATGTCTGAGATATATGGACTTTTTAACAACACTCATCTTGGTGTTCCTTGTTCCCTAATACTGTAGAAGTCTCACCTCACACTTCCCTCAAATTAAGGAGCAGTGCAGAGCTCCCTCCACCTGGGAAGGCCTTGCTGTGAGAGTGCAGCTCCTTCCAGAACCTGTACACATAGGGCATGGAGACAGGATTCAAGGTCAGGGTGGGAGTTGGACGGGCTGATATTCGTGCCCTTCATAAGGTTTGATCCTGAGCTACAGACACGGGTAGTTGGGAGGTAAGTTTCCACTTGGGCTGGAGGCTGATGGGGAGACCCTGATCCATCTCTTCTCTTTGGCCCCACAAAGCAGGCAGAGCTCTGTCTATGTGGCCTTCCTCTCTGTGCCACCACCATCCAGAGGGAAGGCAGCTTTCCTAAGACCCTATTCTCTGATTATCTATGTCCCTTTCCAAAATATTCATATGAAGGTCCAGACTTGGAACTTTCATCATTAAAGACAATTAGTAAACAGACTCTAAAGAGTAATAACTAACATGTATTCTATGCCAGGCCACGGTCAAAGTGGTTCCCATGCTTTACCTCAGTTGATTTTGTAACCACAACCCAACACTGTTCAATTAGTGACCAATTAGTGACCCCCAAAGCAGTCAGAAAAAGGTTAATGACTTGGCTGGGTGCGGAGGCTCATGCCTGTAATCCCACCACATTGGGAAGCCAAGGCAGATAGATTAACTGAGTTCAGGAGTTTAAGACCAGCCTGTCAACATGATGAAACCCCGTCTTTACTAAAAATACAAAAATTAGCTGGGTACGGCGTGTGTGCCTGTGGGAGCTACTTGGGAGGCTGAGGCAGGAGAATCGCTTGAACCCAGGAGGCAGAGGTTGCAGTGAGCTAACATTGTACCACTGCACTCCAGGCTAGGGAGAGTGAGACTGAGTCTCAACAAAACAGAAACAGAAAAAGGTTAAGGATTCGCCCGAAGTCATCTAGCCTGTAAGTACACAGCCAGAATTTAAGCCTCGGTGGTTACGCTGGGAAACTGTTATGGAGCAACCCAGAGATTTAGCATCAGTGGTTCAAATCTCAGCTCTACAAATGCTTGCCATGTGACCTCACACAAGTCGCTTACCCCTTCTGAGACTCAGTTTCCCTCACTGCAGAATGGGCTTAAGTGTGGTGCAAGGAATTTACAATGATCAAAAGTAACAATAAATGCGAAAGGGTATCAGCAGCATGCAGGCAGTATACGGAATTGTTATAAAGTTGTCCTTTTCCATCCTTTGTCAAAGCATGCTGACAAACTCAAACAGATGAGAAAGGTAGCAGCAGAATGGACCTTCTCCTCATGCCTTTGGTTGTACAGCCACACAGCTCCTGTGCTCTGAATTCCTGGTGCACAGAGTTGATGATGGTGAGGGCCCCTGAGTGCAGATACTTTCTGGGCCACCTGAAATGCTGCTCAGTTTCTCACACGCACCCTGCTGTGGCTGCTTACCATCCCCAGCAAGGGCGCGGAGGAATGGAAACTTTTGCCACCAACAGCATTTGCTAGCAACTTCCCTCTCTGTGGTTTTTCTGTCATTGCCTTGATAAAAGAACTTGAGCTGCGCAAAAGTAACCAATCTTCACCAATCTCATCTTCACATATAAACAGTCGCCTTTCAAGAAGCAAGCTGCCAGAAAAATGATGCATGATGCTCTCTAAACTGGGTCATTCTCCACTTGGAGGGCTCAGGGCACGGTTGACCTTCCCCGTGTGTGTCTTATACCGCAGGTTCCGGGGATCTCCAACGGCCCCAGGGAGAGAGAAAGAAATGGGAAACAGCATGAAATCCACCCCTGTGCCTGCTGAGAGGGCTCTGCCCAGCCCAGAGGGTAAGTCTGGCTTCTTTGGTGAGATGCTTAAGTCTGTGCTACAAGAGCCTGTGATAAAGACTGGGGGGTGGTGGATGCTGATAATTGCTTAAACATGGCAGCAGGTACTGGAGGACTCATATTTCTCTCTCGTTTTGTTTGTGGTTCAAATATTTCATAATTAAAAGATGAAAAGGACTGGGTCTTTGGCACACCTGAAGGATGTTAAATCTTTGGCATTTTGAGATGGTTCTCCAAGATCAGCTGGTTCAATCCCTTTATTTTCCAGGTAGGGAAACTGAAGTTCACAAAGGGAATGGAATCCACATCGTTGAGTATTTGCTGATAAGTTTCCAATCTAGGCCCATCTGATTCTGAAACCTAGACTCCTGTTTACCACACTCTGGCAGCGTATAATATAATATCGCCCATAGAGTTAGCCCTGCATGAGCTGGATCTGTGTTCCTTTTCTAAGCTAGGCACCATCCTCTGACATCTTTCTGAAAGCAAAGGAATCCTTATGTCCTGTTGGTGGTATTGCAAGGTGACAAGCATTCTTGGGGAAAGAGCCTAATGTTGCAGGTTAATCAGTGATGACAATGTCAGCTTTTCCGGGAGATGCAAGGTTTGGCTAGATTACCAAAGCTACAAAGAGTCCCTCAGCAACTGGTCAGAGGCCTGGGAGGAACACCAGTGAACGGAGGGCAAAGGCTAGATGTCAAATCCACCATGTGCTGGGCTCAGCTATGCTGGCCCCTTCTAATGGCCCAGTCTTTATTTCCTCAGATTCCTAGTTCATACTTCTCATTTTCTGTGGTCTTGGGAAAGGGACGATAGCGAGGCCAAGGGGCACCTTGGGACACTTCTGCCTCCCACCTTACATCATAGTCTTTGGGGCCTGGCATCCCATCTCCTAGCAGGGGTGGCCACACATGGTTCCCAGAAGCCCTGTAGCACTGCTCTGGGTGGAGTTCACTGAGCATAGATGACTGCCCTGTCTGCTGAGCTTAACAGGGGAGTGGACTGAGCCAGGTTCCTGAGCTGCCTTCAGGTACTTATTGTGCATTCCATGACTTCTGTGGCTCTCTCACAAAGGAGCCTTCTCACCTCTTTCAAAATGGACAGGCCCAGCTCATGTGGTCTGATGGCCTCAGATGCCTCCAAGTCAGCATGCTAAGACCCAGCCACTCTACACCCCTTTCAAGACAGATGCTGAACAATCCTGGTAGTTCTGATTTATCTAGTGCAGTAACTCCCCTTCCCAAAGCAAATGGAAGATGGAAAACAAAAAGAATATTCCCCAGGACCAAGGGGATGGAACCAGATGACAAGGTGGAACAGGGCTTGTGTCCTCAGGACCCTGTGGGGGCAGCCCTCTACCTCCGGTGCAGCATTCAGAATAGCATTCAAGGCACAGGCAGCTGAGCCTGCTGCTGCTGTCAGGAGAACGCCCGGGGTTCCTTCTCACCCTCTCCCAACTGACTTTGGTCACAGCCTTCTCCTCTGGTCATAATCACGGCTAGAAAACTGACTCCACAGGGCCCCGGGCCCGGGCAGGCTGGGGAGGCTCCCACCCGCCCAACCCATCTTGGCTTTTCACCTCTCAGCCTGGGGCAGAGGGGGCAGCATGCTTGAGTGAACCCCATGAAAACATCAGCCTCCAAGGCTTGCTCATTTGCTTTCAACTTTTCAATGCAAATTGTCATAAAGTAAGTTTATTTTTTCCATTATGTGGGTGAGAAGTCACCTCTAGAGCAGAGGTAGACAGAGGGGTCTCCCCACCCCTCCACCCCCTGGTGAAGAGAATTCCCCAGGTCATACCCCGTTTGTGATCCAGGCAACCACATCAAGCGCTGGTGGGCTGCTTTTCCACCCCCCAGCCCTGAGAAGTTTCCCTGATCATCAGTCCTCACGTTATTTCCTCTTTTCTCTTATATCTGCTTGAGTGAGGGAGGAGAAAGTTGTGCAGTGATGTTGTATTCACTAGTCCCATCTTCCTCATTTCCAGGGTTAGGGTTTTCCTGGAATGAGCTCCTACTCAGCTAAAGCTCATATGGTTGCTCATCTAGTTACCCTCAAACAATTAACCCAGGAGACAGTGCAGGTCTTGCTGGTTGCTTTAGGCCAATGTGCAATCAGAGCCAGCTTCCACATTGGCTTCAGTGCCAGAGAGTTAAAGGCACCACAGACCTGACCCTGCACAAGGATCATCCAGAGGCCAGTCTGGAGACTTTCAGACAACCACGTTTTCTGAGCTTTTGGGAGACCATTCTTCCCCCAAGCCAGGACTGTGAATGCCTTGGAACGTGGCTTTGACAATCTGGCTTTTTTTCCCCCACAAACTAAGCTTTCCAGAACATTCCTGATTAGTCGAGTTGTCAGAAACCAATGTCATAAAACCTATGAAAAGAAGCAGTACTTGAGGGGAAATAGGGCAAGTTTCAAGGGCAGGTGGCCCTCACCGAGCTTCCAGTAATGTTCCGTTGAAGCTGTGTGACTTTAGGTGTCACTCGGCCTGCCCCAAGAGAGATCCGGAACAAGTTCCTTCTCACAGCGACACTATCATGTAGAGCAGGTACCAGCAAAGAAGGGTGTGAAAACGTTTCAAAACTCCATTTTGGAGGCAAAGGAATCTCTTGAACCCAGGAGATGGAAGCTGCAGTGAGCTGAGATTGTGCCACTGCACTCCAGCCTGGCAACAGAGCAACACTCTGTCTCAAAAAAAAAAAATCCATTTGGGGGTACCTGACTGCACTGGGCTCTATATATCTAAATGGCCATTCCCCAAAAGTTTTAAAGTGGTGAAACTGGTAGTTCTGTGACTTGCTTCCAAATCACCCCAAATTGTTCATTTTCTCTATAATTCTATACATACTTCTGTACCAGACATGGGCAGTACAGGACTTTTGAATACAACCTAGGGAAGTCCCGCTGTGGTCAGAAAATGGCATATTTCCACCTTAAAATGAGCACTCCATCTCTCCGCTCTGATCTTTTTCCCCTCTTTGTTCCTTCTCTTCTTCTTCTTTTTTTTTTTTTTTTTTTTTTTGTTTTGACTTGGTTTCACTCTTGTTGCCCAGGCTGGAATGCAATGGCATGATCTTGGCTCACCACAACCTTCGCCTCCTGGGTTCAGGTGATTCTCCTGCCTCAGTTTCCTGAGTAGCTGGGATTAATCGGCTAATTTTTGTATTTTTTTTCTTTTTAGTAGAGACAGTGTTTCTCCGTGTTGGTCAGATTCGTCTTGAACTCCTGACCTCAGGTGATCCGCCTACCTCAGCCTCCCAAAATGCTGGGATCACAGGAATGCGCTACTGCGCCCAGCTGTTCCTTCTCTTCTTATCACCTTGACCTGAAGAGGTGCCAACAGAGGCAGCAGCACAGACCCCTTTCTGCCCATGCAAGTGTAGAAACAATGCTGTTTGTGTAGCTGCCCAGTGGAAAGATGGGGACACATGGGGCTCAGGGAAGGAAAAAGCGTGCAGGGACCTCTCAAATACAGCTTGCAGCTTCTCAGTAAGTGGTCCTCACACCACCTGCATCAGAATCCCCTGGGAAGTAGTTGAGATGCAGATTCCTGGGTCCCAACCAATCAGAATCTGGAGACAGTAGGAGGTAGCCGCCAGCTGAATTTCCTGCAAGTCCCTGAGACTCTATAGCCCCAAAAGCTTGCGGACCACAGACCAGCTTTCAGTCCTGCCCCTGCGCTGACACACAAGGAGAGATGAGAGAGAGTTTATCTCCTCAGTCTCTTGGTCCTCCTTTGTAAAACAGGAATGATTCAAGTCACTTGGTGCTCACAGCCTCCAGACAAAGTTTCCAGTGCTTTAAAAGCACAGACTCGATTCTCACAGCCCCACAAGGCTTCTGCCTATTATCATCTCCGTTTTGCATCTGAAGAATCTGAGGTACAAGAAGCTTAACTGACTTGCCTGAGGCCACACAGCTCAGAGGAGACAGCCGGAATTCAAAGCTAGGTGGCCTGACTCCAGGGTCTATCTCCCCGCCGCAGTGTGTGCCTGGAGAGGACAGGGTTTCAAGAAGCCCGCAGGTTCTGAGAGAGGGTGGGCTTGCTCCCGAGTGAGTGAGAACATGCCTGGCCACAAGATTTAGCAAGGGATCCCACAAACAGTGAATCTGTATCAAATCTTGGACCAGATCCCTTTTTTCTATTTGCGCCTAACCTTGCTGCTGGTACATGAGATGGTTTTAGGTGGATCATTATCCGTCAACTGTTACAACTTTCACATTGATGAACATCATAAAATATATAACTAGCCCAAGAGATCCATGATGTCACATTGCTCTGAATAGCACACAAGGGTTTTGTAAGTAAATTAATTTTAAGGAAGAGATTATCATAACTAGTGGTGTGGACTATGACAAAGGAGGGCTGAGTGGTCCAGAGCACAGCTATGACCTGCCCTTCTCTGCTCTGCCCTGCCCTGCCCTGCCCAGGGAGACCTGGCTTTGAAACCTGGCACTCTACTTCCTAGCTGTGTTCTCTTGGGCAGTCTTTGGACCTCACTGTGCCTCTATTTCACTCATACTCAAAATAAGGTAGTCTCCATCTATCAACCTCAAAGGGAGGCATGAGGACTTAAGGAGTAACCTGGTTACCACACATGGGCCAGTGCCCAGTTTCCCCCAGAGCTGTGCCCTCTGCTACTGATGATCATGGGGAGGAGGGGGAAGAAGGGGATGGTGGAATAAAAGCAACTGAAGTCTGGGAAGCCCAGAGTGTCCAAGCAAAACACATTCTGCGTCTACGCAGCCCAAAATATTAGTTTTGACTATTTCTTGCTTCTGTTCTCTGCTAGCCTTGCCTGTATCCCTCTAGCATCTCAGAGGTTGAAACTGATGCTGAAAAGCCTCACGGTCTGTTTAGTTCCACTGTGTTCCCACTAACATATGGAAAAACCAAGGCATGGGCAGAAAAGAGCTTTGTGGGCTACTGAGCCTCAAACACAGCCCTTTTCATATGACTAAGAGGCTCCATGAGTCTGGCTCATGGTGACACA